CTATTTTCCACCGCTCCCTTTCATTCTGGTTGTTACCAGCTTCGTGCTTCGGCTCGACTGATACTTTATATAACAATCACTGTCTCTATTTGAGAGCTGACAGTAAGAGAGAAGCACTTTGTCACTAGACCCTTGTTTTTACCAGATTTCATATTTTATCACACATATAGGCCGAACTATCCACCCATCTAGCATTTCACCCATCCACCAGTATAGCCATCCATCATTCCATCTATTTATCTACCCGCCAATCTATCCCACGACCCACTCATTCATTCATCCTACTATCCATGATGGTGTCTATCTATCTATCTATCTATCTATCTATCTATCTATCTATCTATCTATCTATCTATCTATCTATCTATCTATCTATCTATCTATCTATCTATCTATCTATCTATCTATCTATCTATCTATCTATCTATCTATCTATCTATCTATCTAATCTATCTATCTATCTATCTATCTATCTATCTATCTATCTATCTATCTATCTATCTATCTATCTATCTATCTATCTATCTATCTATCTATCTATCTATCTATCTATCTATCTACTATCTATCTATCTATCTATCTATCTATCTATCTATCTATCTATCTATCTATCTATCTATCTATCTATCTATCTATCTATCTATCTATCTATCTATCTATCTATCTATCTATATCTATCTATCTATCTATCTATCTATCTATCTATCTATCTATCTATCTATCTATCTATCTATCTATCTATCTATCTATCTATCTATCTATCTATCTATCTATCTATCTATCTATCTATCTATCTTATCTATCTATCTATCTATCTAGCTATCTATCTATCTATCTATCTATCTATCTATCTATCTATCTATCTATCTATCTATCTATCTATCGATCTATCTATCTATCTATCTCTCTATCTATCTATCTATCTATCTATCTATCTATCTATCTATCTATCTATCTATCTATCTATCTATCTATCTATCTATCTATCTATCTATCTATCTATCTATCTATCTATCTATCTATCTATCTATCTATCTATCTATCTATCTATCTATCTATCCATCCATCTATCTATCCATCCATCCTCCATCCATCCATCCATCCATCCATCCATCCATCCATCCATCCATCCATCCATCCATCCATCCATCCATCCATCCACCAACCATCCATCCATCTATCTATCCATCTATCTATCCATCTATCTATCCATCTATCTATATATCTATCTATCTATCTATCTATCTATCTATCTATCTATCTATCTATCTATCTATCTATCTATCTATCTATCTATCTATCTATCTATCTATCTATCTATCTATCTATCTATCTATCTATCTATCTATCTATCTATCTATCTATCTATCTATCTATCTATCTATCTATCTATCTATCTATCTATCTATCTATCTATCTATCTATCTATCTATCTATCTATCTATCTATCTATCTATCTATCTATCTATCTATCTATCTATCTATCTATCTATCTATCTATCTATCTATCTATCTATCTATCAGCATGCCTGTCTGCTTGCCTGTCTGTCCGTCTATTTGTATTTGTAAGCTAGCACAGGCAACACTTTTATTCCATGCGGATGTGCTAGTGTCATCCCCACAACCCAACCCTGGTTGCGCCATATTGGCCAACCCCTCCATCCCTCTTTTGACACTCAGTGTACGCTGTTGTGTATGTTAGCGTCTACTCCGCCTAATACCTAGGCATATCGACCCAGTTTTAAGCTTCCCATCCGCGCGGCAGCGATATATAGGCTAGTACCTGTCGTGTTCATCCCCTTGAACGAAGTTTTTCGCCAGGGACACAGATGAGTATCATTTAGTTAGTATATTAGTTTATTTAGTATATTAAAATCCTATGTAGTCATTTCATAGTTAGTGCATATTTGTGTATGTGCGCTGTGTTGTTCTATATGTGCTGATGAAGGCTAATCGCCGCAACATCCTTTGTTCATTGTGATCGATTTCGTCAAGCTGAAATAAATTATTTGTTTCTTTCCCCCCCCCCCCCCCCCCCCCCCCCCTTTTCTCTTCCCTATAATTTCCTACCCTTTTAAAAACATTTTATGAGACTGGGTCAACCTCAGAGAATATATCGATACCATCACTTTTGTATCGAAAATAAAGAAATATAAAATGTAACATTTTTCGAATACTTGGGCTCTTTAGTGAACAACAGTATCGACTGCTCGAAAGAAATCAGAAGAAGACTTGCATTGGCAATACAGAGATTAAACAGCATGAAGAACCTATGGTAAAGCACTGGTAAATTGGTTAAAGTAAAACTCTTGAGATCTTGCAATTTTCCTGTGGCAGCTTACGGTTGTGAGTCCTGGACTCTCACTCACACTGAGGAACAAAGACTGGAGCTTTTGAATTAAAATGTTACAGAAACACTTTTAGAATACCATGGATCAAGAAGAGAAAAAACATAGAAATTCTAAACGATTTGAAAATCAGGGAGAACTGGCTCATAAACAGCATCCTGTCCCGAAAGTTGAAGTATTTTAGCGACATCAAGCGTCACGGGGGCTTGGAAAAGATAGCAATGGAGGGAGCAGTTTGTGGAGGGGCAAGGTAGGGGTCGACCACCACGAAGATGGATACAGGACATTAAAGAGGCATTGGCATTAAAAGTCTATGAGGCCAGAGAGCTGGCTAGGGAAAGGGATACTTTCAGGCGTGCCGTGAAGAGAGCGACGTTCTATAAAGGAATAGCTGATTTAGGATGATTAGGATCACTATTGTTTTAGTAAGATGTCTTAAAAAGGGTGTATAAAAGCAAGAGGATCGACTTCGTTGCATAGGGTTTTGTCCCATGTGGCTCGATCTCTCTCATGGCAGATTAGCTGTTTCCTCACAAAACATGAAATTCTGTAACTCACATGACAATGTTTTGGATTTCCGAAACACTGTCATTTGTGAATTGAAGGATGGAATCCAAAATTGAATCCACAGCCATCATAGACAGATGGGCTAACCTCTCAGCCACAACAGCCTGTAGAACCTTACCTACTAACCATTATACTCTTCTTCTTCTTCTTCTTCTTCTTCTTCTTCTTCGATCCTTCTGTCAGAAAACTTATATCAGGAGGCCGGTAGCCTTTATGAAAGCTATCGTGTAATCCATATCCTCTTGTGTACCATACAGTTTTGTCTTTATTGTGGTTGGAACAGGCCAGATTGCGTCTCTGTTGTCAGCATACAGTTGACAGTGTTGGAGCACATGCTCAGCATTTTCGGGTGCCACGCTGCAGGGACACGTCTCCGTATTTCCTACACAGAAAAATTTTGAACATATGTTGACGAAATCTGTTGTGCCCTGTCCTTAGTCTGAATATAATAGACTGTCCCTCTCTAGAGAGGCGATGAAGTGAGTCTTGGGGAGAAAATCTGGTTTGGGTATCCAGCTACCTTTCTTGGATACTAGATTGTATTAGTGTTTTCATCTCTTGGTGGGTTAAGTCGCTATTTGGTTGTACCATGTCACTGCCGCTTCTGGCTAATCTGTCCTCTATTTCATTGCCTTCCAAGCCACAGTGACCTGGAGTCCACTGCAGTACAGATTGTTCTACTGAAGAGCCTAAGTAAATCAGCTGTTGCGTCAAGTCTACAAACTGAGTGTCTTTTGGGTTAACAATTGCTTGTAGAACTGACATAGCATCAGTCAGAAAGACCACTCTGCTATATTTGCTGTGCTGTTGTCCATTCAGGAAAAGAACATGCTGCTAGAAGTACTTCTGCCTCTGCTCTGTAATTAGAGGAATATGAACCTGTTGGTACAGCCTGGTTGATTTTTAAACCATTTGGGCATTCTATGTATATTCCTCCTCCTCCGTCTCTTACTGCTCTCTTGGCTGAACCATCTGTATACACTCGAATCCAACTCTGGTGTGGGTAAAGTCTATTGATCTCTCCTTCTGTAGTTGATTTCATATCAGTGCTGCTCATTGATGATTTGGAGGAGACCCCTGTTACAGTGGTTCTGACTGTTGGTAGGCTATCCCTAAGCCAAGCGGGGCAGTCGTTGTAAGGTTTAAGTGGAACATTTGGTATTATGGGAGGGAGTTTAAGGACAGCGAGCTTGGCATTTGCGTTCTTAATAAAGCAAGTTCTCTTTAGTCTAGCCTTCTGGGGTTTCTGCAGTCGGCTGTACATGGGTTGTTCTTGAAAGTGGTGGTATTTGGAGAGCTGGGTGAGGATCTTTGTGTCTCTCCTATCTTCCAGATTATGGAGACCAGTAATTGTTTCCATATCTGATATGGGCGTGGAGCGTATTGCCCCTGTCATAATACGGAGAGCATGGTTTTGGATCTTTGAGACTTTTTGAAAATTTGATTTAGCTGCTGTGCCCCAAGCAGCTATTCCATATTCTAGTGTTGGCCTCACATAGCCTGTATAGGTCCTCTTAAGGACATTGAGGTTTGCCCCCCCAGTCTGTTCCAGCTAACTTCCTCATCAGTTGTGTTCTCTTGAGTCCCTTGCTCTGTGTCTTTTCTATCTGTTTTCTCCATGTGAGTCTTGAGTCAAAGGTTACTCCTAAATATGACGGTGAGTCATAATGTATCAGTGCCTGGCTGCCATATCTAAGTGAAACTTTCTGGGGTTTGGTAGAGAGACTGAAAATGGTGTGTGTGGTTTTGGACCCATTTACAGGCATATACTGATGACATCTACATGCATTCAAATTAACGTTCAAAAATCATGTTTTTTCCCCTCTGTATTAAACAGCAGCCTGAAGAAACATTTATACCGTTATTTTAGGTTTTTATTACCTCATATTTATCATTGTAAAAAGATTTTTTATGCTTTAATATATCCATCTTAATTTTAATGTGTTACTAATGATTCAGCTGCATATTTCTATCAGACATCCATACACATTATTATAATTAGCTCTGACAATGACAATCTTTCTTCCATTTCCTCCAGTCTCCTGCTAAATATTAGCTGTTAAATACATTTAATTATTATTTCAGGAACAACCCAAAGGGTGTCAAGTGTGGCTGGCAATTATGTTATCACAGTCGAGCAGGATACTTCAGTTTCAAATAACAATTACTCATTTTATGAGTACTTTAGGGTTGATTACAATCAGATTCAGAACTTCTGGTACACCACGATGATCAAACCCATTGATCGTGATGTAAGTAAGACTCACTGTGATATATTATTTGTGATGTTATTGTTATATGTTTACAAGGAATCTGAGAGATTCATCTTTCAGGGTACAAATCAGTTTGTTTTGATTCTTCTTAGGGTGCACAGCCTTCATGCGGTAGCAGCACCTTTTATTTTTTTATTCATCATTTTTTTCAGGACTACTGTAATAGGTACTTTGTGTTGAGTACCAGCACCCATTTTGGACACTTTGTGGTGAATAGAAGCACCTTAAAAAAAAAAGTACTGATACAAATTAGGAATGTCTAACAAGAAAAGCATAAGCAGTCGTGGACTGAAAGGAACTGATTATTGTGGAAGAAAACAAGATCTGGGTTTTTAGAGAAAAAAATTAAATACAGTTGTCTTAACATAAATAATTTTTGATTTTTGTCTGTGTCTGAGTGGATGCATTTGTTATCTGTGGATTTTTAAATGAACATTTAAGTCAACTAGTACTTCTAATTTACAGGGCCCGACATCTAGCTTGAATGATGATGTCAATGTCCTGCAGTTCCGATTTCTCTGTAAACCTCCTAACCAGTCTGTAAGTATAATTGACTAACTTATGTGAGTTTTATGGTTTTGTTAGAAAATGAATACATACTTTAGATAGGGTTATAGTACTGCTAAATCTTGTGTTTAAAAAGTAGTTAGTACACAATGCTGTTTTATGAGGAACTGAATGTATATTTTAAAGAAATTAAACTAATTATCTTATTGCCTTATCGCTATTTTTATTTCTTTAGATCATATACAGTGTCTTGAGGATACAGATAACAGATAAAAACGACAACTATCCAGAGTTTGTGAGGCAGCCTTACACTACAAGCATAAGTGAGGTGAGTTAGAGTTGTCTCATACAAGCATGAGCATCATTGCTGCTATTTCCGTATGCCTTTTCTTTTTTGTTGGAGTCACTATTGTGTAGCGGCTAGATGTTTGCATGTGGATCAAAAGGTCGTGGATTCGGGTCCTGACGTTGCCGGTTTTGTTCAAAAATTACGTTGTCTCCCACGCTGACTCAGCCTTGAATGGGTGCCAGATGGAGCCCTGGGAAGTAAAGGCGACTGACGTGGTGATGGCCACATTACCCACCAAGTGCCAATAGGTCTATATAATATAGATCTAGCCCAATATGCCCAACACACCTGAAGGAGTGGATAGGGTCCTTTACTTTATCTGTCATGTTTTGTTTAACCTTATTTGAACACAATTTTTAGGCTACATAGAATTGTAACACAACACAATTGAAGTAGTATTTAATTATTTTAAAAAAGTGAAATGTTGCAATAGATATAGACTTCTGTAGTAGTTAAATGTCTGTTTTGTCTTGTATTTACACATTGTTTGGCAATATCTCTATCCATCCTTTAAACACTTGAAAACAGCTCCATTGGGACTCTTCTGTTTTAAACTATGTCAGTTCAATACGTTTGCAAAAATTCAGTGCAAAGAAGAGATGGCATGTGAAGACAGAATCTCGAAAAGTGTGAAGCAGTCACCAGGAAGAGAGGTAATAGAGATTAAAAAACACATTATCATCTAGAAGCTGCTCTGTGATGAACAGTGATACAAGACTATCTTTTCTGAGGACAAAATAAGGATAGTGTGCAGTTACTATGCCAGGATACTCCACTAACTGCCCTGATTATTCCCTGACTGTTTTTTTTTTGCCACTTAGTCGACTCCAAAAGATACTACAGAATAGATCTTTAAGGACAATATTGTTTACTTGTACCATCACTATTGAATTTCACAAAATCAAGGAAGAGAAAGCTAAACAGGGATACCTTGACTTACGAACTTAATTCGTTCCTGACCGTGGTTTGTATCTGCAAAAGTTTGTATCTCGAAACCTAATTTTGTGGGAAATCTACCATTTTCAGATTTAAACAAAAATCAAATACTAAACAAAAACTACTCTCACCTAATTATTCCTCTTATAATTTCTATAATAATCATAACCCAAATCGAAGCAGTGTGTGAAACAATACAAATTACACATCGGTCGGATCGAAAAAATTACGCGATATTTAAAAATAAAATAACACATATATACTCAGTCAAAGAAATCAATTATAACCTTAATTGAACCGGATATTTTTGAAAACAGTTACTACTACTACTTCTCTCACCATAATTGATCAATTGCAAAGATCAAGAATGAAAATAAGCATTTTTAGGCAATGAATTTGCATTTTGTATATATTACACATTTCCTAAAATAAAATGTTTTGGTTTTTACATAATACATATGTATGCAGTATGAAAATTACCTTCCAATAAAAATTTTTTTTTTCCAAATTCCGTCTGTTTCTTTGGTCATAAACGTTTTAAAAACCTAACATTGCCTGTTTCTGTCACTTCACGAAGACCCTTTTAAAATGATTAATGATTTTGTCATTGAAGACACTGGTGGCTTTAGAAACAATAGCTCAACCACTAATTCTTCTGATTCACCCCAGTGTTACGAGATTTAGTTTGTATCAGTTGTTATGATTGGTCCCTTGTTGTTGTTGCTCTCTTCATTCTCTGAAGACATTTGCTCATCCTCATCATCCTTTACTTTTTCCTGTTCAATTCTTAACACGTATAGCTCTTCGATGGTCAGATCAGTGTTACGCTCCTCTTCTTCTTTTTTCTTCTATCCCCTAATAGCGCATAGACCCTCAACCAACTCACGCCAGATCGTTCTATCCTTCGCTTTCACATGCAGTTATCCCCACTTTTTCAACTTGACTCTCTAGCTTTTTTCTCAATGTGTGTGCTTTTTGGGTCTTTCTTTCTTTAATGATATGCCCTTGTGGGTTCCAGTGCAAAGACATTCCAGTGATACACTTCTAAGGTTTTTCAACGTGTTTCGAATACAAAGCCAGCGTCTTTTCGTCACCTGTTAATCCACTTGAACTTGATCAGCTCTCTCCCAAAGCTGTACATAAGTTATACTAACATAGCATTTAATTCCCTCTGTTCTGCGCAGGCATTAATTATAAATATCAGCAATTGCTTTAGTTGTTCTCCATGTTTCTGTCCCATACAACAGAACTCATTTAACATTAGAATTTCTTTTGAACTCCACAAATTCCCTAATGCTATGAAAACCCCACATGCCTTTTGTATTCGTATTTTAATATCTCTGTCAGTTCTCCTATCTTTATTTAAATTACTGCCCAAATATGTGTATGCCTCCACCTCTTGGAGTGGGATACCATTAAGAAAAACTACATTACTATTTGCCTGATTTATTCTCATTATCTTTGCCTTTTGCTTATGCATTTTCAGACGAACTGTTGAGATCCCGCATCAAGTATATTTAATTTATCTTGTATCTGATTCCGCGTGTGAGACAGAAGTGAAATATTATCAGCGAAGTCCAGGTCATCTAGTTGTTTTGTAGGGGTCAACTGAATTTCATTCTTGGTGTAAGAAGTTGTCTTCTAATCCCGTCTACTGCCAGTAACAAATAAGACAGGCGACACCAGTTTCAAATGTATTTGTTAGCTTTTTCTCATGAAGAACTCGACATTTCATTTCTTCATTCGCTATCTTTACTAAGTTAATAATTTTCTGTGGGATTCCATAGTGCCCCATCAGTTTCCAGAGAGATTCCCTATCAATGTGGCAAAAGCTTTTTCATAGTCTATGAATCCAATGTAAAGTGGTGAGTTCAGTTCAATGCTCTGCTCTAGTATTATACGTAATGTGGCTATCTGGTCAGTACAGGATGTGTTTGACCGAAAACCTGCTGATTCATCTCTTAGTGTTTTTGTCAGTGTATACCGTAGTGCATCACGGTTTGTATCAGATTTATAGGTAAAGGTCAAAATGGGATACAAAAATAATGTTTGTGTCTTGACATGTTCTTATGTAGAGCGGTTGATAAGTCGACGGATCAGTGTATTTTTTATAACTTTTATTGTTCTTCTACGTTAAACTGGGATAGCTGGAAAGTAGCTAGTTTTAAACTGCAAAAACATTTACATTCAAGATTAAAGTGGTCTGACAAATATTTTTGCACTGCTGTTTATTTTATTTCATTAATATAATCATTACTGACTAACAGTTTGCCAAAATTATGCCAACTAATAATGGGTTCTGGACAGACACAGACAACCCTTCTGTACAGAATTTTACATGACTCTTTGTTAGCAAAGACAGAGATTATTCAGTGGATGTGCTTCAACATTGAACGCTTCCTCAGCGTCTAGTGATATAAATGGCATATCACTTTAGTATAGTCATACTTTGAGATATACAGCAAATGAGAAATGCTGGTGTAACCCTTGTGTCAGCCATGTCACAATCCTATTTGTCTTAGTGTGGCTGGACGATCTCATCTAAATGGTATCTTTGGTGGATTTGGGTTCAAATCCTTTACACCTCAAAACCAAATGAGAAATTGAGGCAATTGAGGTAAACAGAGTCTCTGGATAAACACATACAGCCTAAGATTGGCCTGTGGAGAAGAATAAGTTGACTGAATATCCACAGGAGAAGGAAAAAAGGCGTTGAGAGATCAAGATACACTTATTGTATGAAAATCGAACTCTAGACTGCAGGTTGCTTTATCCAACACGTTTTCCAAACTTTCGCACTCACCTAGCAATGTTACGTCATAACGCGACTTCATGGTGAGTTAGTTAGTTGGGTTATTATTATTGCACTCCGGACATGTCATAGGTGCTCAGATCCTCCACTCAGTATGAACCCAACGTCCGATGGCTAAAAGTACTAGTTCTATGTTGATTAACAAGTCTTTTGGTGTGTCTGTTGTGCGTCTCGTTTTTTTTTTTTTTGTTGTTGTTGCTATGCCGACCTTAATTCCCAAGTCTGCCATTCTGGCGAGTGAAGTGGATTCACTGCCCCAAAAGTCCTATGCCCTTCCCATTTCTCTGAGGTCAAATGCTAGTGGAATTCTAAATGGTATTTATTAGGTATAAAATATGATATTTAATAAATAATGTTCAAATCAATGTGTGTGTGTGTGTGTGTGTGTGCGCGCGCGCGTATATATATATATATTTATATATATATATATATATATATATATATATATATATATATATATATATATATATATATATATATATATATATATATATATATATATATATATATGTGGGTATATGTGAAATTAAATATTACTTTATAAAATTTCAGCTGACTCCGGTGGGACAGATCTTCTACAGTTCCATTTCAGCCGTTGATAAGGATGAAGCTGAAAATAGGCAGATTGTCTACTACCTCACTGACACACCAGGAGCTATGGTAATGTGAATAATTTAGCAATGTTATGGAAATATCCAAATTCCTATGAGAGCTTACCACTTTAAGTTTCAGAAGATTTTACGACTGTTGCCGAAGTTGGTAGTAAGGGAAAAACGACTAAGGAACATTATGTATGTTGTTGCGTGCTGCTTTAGGAGAGTGTAATATTGTGTGAAGGGACAGAGTGGTATGGTAGTACTTTCCGGGAGTTCAAGAGGAACAGGGTCAACATGGGCTCGAGTATTGAGTGGGGACAGAATGTTGACCAGTGAGAAGTGTAGTGTCACGAGAAAGTAGACGCGTGGGTTCACGATGTAGGGGCTGACAATCATAGCTAACGAGAGGCATAGAGAAAATCTGAATTACCTGACAGAGTGATTCTCATGTAACATCAGCCACCCACATAAGCGTGATCCTCGAGAACGCTCACATGAGCGTGAGTCTCGAGAACGCCCACGTGAGCATGATTCCCGAGAACGCCCACACAAGCGTGACACTCGTGTAAACATCAGCCGCCACATGAGAACCTCTTACATTTTAAGCAGTTGGTACTTTAAAGTAAAAAACTTATGGGTCTAAAGGAGTTATATTTAAGAGCTTAACACGAATGAAAAATTTAAACGTGAAAGGATCTGATTGTTTTAGCACACATAATTTCCCCCTATACTACTTGTTACTGGTTGTTCGTATAGACATCCTAACAAGTCGATCTGACCCATTTGTGCTCCACTCTCCAAAACAGCAGCCATCTGAGTGTTTTCATGGTCGATGTACCCAGTGGGAATTGATTAGCATGTCTTTTTTATTTGCCCCGCATCGTGATTATGCATGCTTGTCTTCACTTAATACCCATTTCCAATAGGCGAACCATTGTCCTTGCGCTGCTTTCTGCTCTGCCACTCATGCAAGTGCCTCTATAACAGCGTCTCTCTCCATAGTCATGTTAGAAGTTGATGAACTGAACGCTCACATTTCTTCTTCTACTGTCTTTCCATTTACCCGTTCTATGCATGCCCCCCCCCCTCCCCATACCGCACCCTATGAATCACTGAACCATCTGTGTAGATCATGTCACCTGGAGTGTGCTCATTGCGGAGGGCCTATATTTCAGCATCAGTGGCTAGATTTTTTGCAATACCTGCCCAGAGTGACTGTTACATCAGTGTGCTCCTGCAATTGTTCTGGTGTCTCTATCTATTCAGCACCCGAGTCTGACATGTTCCAATGAGCAAATTTGGCTAATGGTGCCCTCTGATTCCGCTATCTAGGACCGCGCCCTCTTTAGACGCTTACCTTTGTTTCCCCGCAGGCAGCGGTGCAGAGGGTGTTTAATGTCAGCAGCAAAACAGAGGTATAACTTTGACTGGGCCATCTTATGTCTAGTGACCACGTCTAGTAAGTCGAGGATGTACTGCATGGAGTCACATGAAATGTATCTCTTGCACCAGATGATCAATCTCAGAGCTTCATTTTGCACTTCCTCTAGTCATTCCAGCTGATGTCTGCTGATTGTGAGGAGGTGAAGCTCATAGTCAGTCACTGAGAGCAGCAAATTGTGGTAACGCATAGGCAGCCATCTTTCTTCTATCTTAACTGCTACCATCAACTTCATCTCAACCAGACCTTTGATTGCCATCAAAATGACACCTCGGACATGATATCGGAAGAATAGACATTTGTAAAGTGGACACTGAGAAATTCAAGGTCTGGCGATATTTCCTCTCCACCCATACTGACAATGGGTATGGGCATCTTGACAACTCTGTTGTTTAGTAAGAACAATGTTTCTGTAGCCTTAGCTGATTTTACTCTAACCCTTGATTCCTCACATCGTCTGGTGTGTCTGTCAAGTTCATGCTGCATTGCTAGTAGTTATATTGGGGAATTTGAGGTCGTATGCTGCCACCTTCGGCACCGTTTAGCACCATTTAACACCGCAGAAGACCCTTGAGCCAGGGTTGCCATATTGGCATTTTTATGCCAAATTCCCCAAATTTGGCATATTTGAAATTGAACTGGCATAAGATAATAAACTGGCATATTTGGGTTTTTCCTTGCTTTTCTTATTAAGATGTGCTCACATTTTCTTCATGGTTCCTCCGTTAGAAATATGCAGATTTACTAAAAGCAATGTAGACCTACAGTTAACACCTTTTTTTCAGTTTGACTTTGTTGTGATGTCCTGGTACGGACTAACGGAGATTCGCGCTATTTCTTATTGTATTTTTTGTCTTCCTAAACGGATTGTGACTTCGACAAACCAAGGCCCTCTGTAATTTATGTTAATCTATTAGAATAAATGCGGGACATAAATCCAAAACCCACTACTGAAACCTATTAATTCAGACTGTTAAGAAACTACTTGAGGTCAGCAAATAGAGAGACCTAGTTCTATCTGTCATAGATTTTATTACTTTTACCAATGGCCACGTCATCCCAAGAGAAAAAAATGGAAAGCATCTTATGACATCGCAAGTATAATAATAACTGGAAGAAAACATACCCACGGCTCAATAGACGGATCAGAGGCAGCATATTATTGCAAACTGTGTCAGTGCACTGTTGCACCAAGAATTAGTAGCATATCAAATCATGAAAAATCCGAAGAAAAAAAAAAAACACAGGATGAAAATTCCGTCAAAAAACCAGTCACAGCTTATTACAACAATGACTCTAGGCAAAGTAATGATAAAGTTAAAGGCAGCAGAGTTGTAACTTGCTGTAGGCATGACCTGCCATTGTGCATGCAATACGCACAATTGATTATCTAAGTGAAATAATGAGAGCGCGTGGAGGGGAGTACATTGGAGCACATACAGTTGCATAGAACTAAATGTTCATGCCTAATGACCTCATTGATGATTTTTGGAACAAGAAACATGCCATCTTTATAGAGAAGTTGAAATGACTTCATCCTATCTGAGAAAAAGCTTACACATTTTACACCCGAAAAGGTTTACGCTGTATCTTCCACTGGTTCCAGTGAGGATGACAGTGAAGAATTCAATCTAGAGCTTTTGATGTGAAGAGTGTTACACTTTATCTGGCAGTTTCTGGCATATTTTAGGTAATGGTTTGGCATAAAATGAAGTTTTTCATTTAGCAACCCTGCCTTGAGCTGCCTGCGATAGCCGTATTTAAAAAAAAATAAAAGGGGGGGGGGGGAAAGGGGGGGGGGGGGGGGGGGGATAATTTGGACACATGATTTTTTTTTTCAAATAGAGGACAGGAAGTTGTAGGTGTGAGAGGTCGTCCTGTCAGGTGAGGTGTGTGGGGGTCATCCCAACTGGGAGGATTATGGCAAATGGGAAGTGGTTGTATTTCTTTCTCCGATTTGTTGTTGTAGTGGTAGCTGTGAGGGTTGTCGTAGTGCTGTGGTTGCGCTTGGTTCGCTGTGAGGGTCGCCCTGTCAGGTGAGGTGGGGGTCATCCCAACGATTTGTTGTAGGGTGCGTCTCTCTATGGCGTGACCTTCTCTGTTATCATCTGTTTCTGTTAGTAGTAGTAATAAATAACCAGAAGACGTATAATAAATAGTTCATATATATTTGTTGTTTCCTTATACAGAACAAAAGCAGCTAATTATTAGTTACATTATTTCATATATTACAAGGCCATTTTACATAATTATATCAATAACGCTGGTTTTAAAAGTTACATAATATTGACTTGTATACATAATTTATTACATAGGTCATTCACATGTTTTTAGCGCTTACCATACAACGCTGGTTTTATCAGTTACAGATATTTACAATGAAAATTAAAGTTTTTTTTTTTTAACACTCATTGAGATGGCAAGGGGCGGCGTAGAAACAGTATAATCGTGAACTTTCCTTTTGATGTATAAATAAGATAAAGACTGTCTGTGTTGTTTGAAGGTGTAAGCTGATTAATCGTATGTTTTAAACACTCCCCCCCCCCCCCCCACTTTTTTGGGGGTCAAAAATTCTGGGTCGATCATCATGGGAATACTGAGAGATTGTATTACCTGGTACAATAGCAAAGATGATAGCAGCTTTACAAAAACACGTAACTTTCTATTCTAGCCTTGGTGTCGATATCTTCAAACATGTTTCTTCTGTTCCCGCCGTTATATTCATTCATATACCTTTTTCAAACTCTCCCTGAAGGCGTGTCCTTTTCACTTTGTTCTAAACTTTAGGCCAGACTCCATCAGACGCTTAGAGTCAATATAGTGAGCTCCTCTATAATCTTTCACAGTTATCACGAAAATGGCAAAACCTTTGTTTAAGGGAATAAACTAGTCCAGTCGGTAAAAACCTTTGACGCCTACGCTCCACATTTTTTTGGGGAGCACTGATGCAGGAAATGCTGACTGATTTTTCTATTGTTAGGAAAGGGGAGAATGGATTCCGAATTAATACACACAACTGGTTTACCATTTAAAATAGACAGCGGCTAGTGTGATGGTGCACTACACAAACACCCACCTGAAAACACAATTTAATGGTCTGGAGATGAGTCTGGGATCACGGAACATTAGAGTCGACAAGTGGGATCGATCCACACGTGCCGCCTACCAGTTCCACGGCTGTACGTTTCACGGCCTCCCGAACTGCCCCTTAACCCAGGGTACAAATATTGACCATGTCAATAAAAATATTTTTTTTACAAAAAAACTAGTCGAGTTATATGAAAAGCCCAGAGAGATTCGCGATTACTTGGTACACGAGGTGGGTGTTACAGTTTTAGAAATGTGGGAGTGCAACTGGCAACAAGTTAGAGAGACTGATCCCATCACAACTTTTCTGTTTTCCCTCGTTGGATCTGATTGGGATGCGTATCCCATTTCAGATGAACAAATGTGACAGATGTTTGTCCTTTGCTATCTTTCTCATTTTCTGCCTTAGATCTCATATGGTTTTCAGAGAGTGTCACATGACCATCAACTTTGTAGCCAGAGGGAAGTCCCCCAAGTATTTCCAAAAGATTAGCGATCATGAATTGAATGAGGCAGTGTGAAAGTTAATCACCATC